GAGTGAAAAAGAAGTTGAAATCCCTCCATTTCTATTGTGACTGGTGGATGGAGTGGATCGCTCGGCTTACGCCGGTATCCATCCCATTGTGTTTAATTTGGTATGCCTTACTGACGCCTGTCATTGCTCCTTCCACTTCATTTTTGACAGGAAAATGAGTAGTTAGTAGCCCCCGAGCACTACAAATCAACACAGGTCAAAATCGCTAGACCATTTTCGCTCGTTACATTTATTACTATACTCCAAACACATCTACGAAACTTCGTTGGGATCTGAATATTATTGGCCGCTTATTCACACTTCAATAGAAGTGTGAATAAGCGGCCAATCACACAAGAGGTCGATATAAATCAGTGTATCGATCAGGATTCCACTGCGTAAATCTTAGCGCACCTTGGTCTAAAGGGAGCAAAGCTGTGAATAAATGGTGCATACAGGTAAAACCTACACCCACATACGCTACATCTCTCACTGGATGCGTTGTCCATTATAAAATTGGTCACCGCCTACCACCTATCAACAGCGTTCACATCTTGTCGCACTAGCTCCGTGGGACATAGGCATGCTCCTCCCCTGGCGGTGATAGTTGCCACGAACGAGATTGGTTCTGGCTATGTAAAAAGAGGTTTCTTAGGGAGCATTTCCGCAGCTAAGCATTATTAGGTCTCAGTTCCTTTTCCATCCTACTTCCAAGTGCTTGCTAGCTCATTCGTTGCTTTCGTGGTGGAGAGTAGGTTCCGAAATCTTGGATAGGATGTAAATGGCGAGAATTCTCATAAAGTGAGCTACTGGAGGCGTTGTGCCGTTAAATCACTCTCTTTTTGCTTGAGAATGGGTTCTTTTAGGGATGAGAGTGGGAGAGATATTGCGATTGGTAACAGATGAACATAATACCGTTCCTGAGATTAGAAACGAGAACATTGAGGCGCTTCGAATACACCTACAAGGAGCTCTGCGATTTCAGAAAAGGCTCAAATTGGTATGTTTTGTTTTCTTGGTTTGATATGGTTTGATATTCGAAATTTGTGGTGGTGGTTTCAATATTGTGATCACATGAGTACACTCATTCGAAAAAGGAAAAAGTTAAAAAAAATTAAATTTATTCAATTCAGCGGAACCCAGCACAAATTGATTACCTGATTTTCATACCGATTAGTTTGTAAGAAAAGGTGCTACTTGTGTTTGCAGAAAAATCTCTCACCACACAAAATTCTACGCTGCCTCAACGTAAAATATTCTACATATTATGTCACATTGATTTATTTCATAGCAAAGTTGGCGTTTCTCCTTAACGTGGGCCTACAAACAAAGCTGCTGAATGAGTGAGTGGTCTTGTTAGAATTCTTATATCGTTACATTAGGTATAACGGTTCAGAATCCTCCGGGATCTCATAGATGATGCTCCTTCGATGGAACTTTCTTTATTTTTATTGATCTAGAAGACACAAACTGTTTCCAAATATGCAATTTCTAGGTACCTCTTGCCTCATGCCAATTCGAGTCAGTTTGGTTTCGATGTATGGCAGACTCTGTGGAGTGGAAATAGTTCATGGAAAGAAAATGGTTTATTTCCACGAGTGACTCTTTGCGATTTCGAGGTTTGGTACTTGCTTGCTGTAGAGCGTTTGCTTTCTGACAATTCGGACTTGAATGGAGATATACAATTTAATGTAATCGCTACTTGCCAGCATTACAAACAGTTTTTTCAGGTTCGAGAAATGGGAAATATTCAAACGCATACCGTACAATGCGTGCTTTTAATTAATATTTTCACTGAGAAGATCTTCATTCTTCTATGGGCATGGTCAGTATAAAGCATACACTAGAACTAAGCATGAATTGATGTAAATTAATTTCGTTATTGCACAGGTATGTGTTTCTCGGGACGCTAACAGCTCTCAATATGTTCAGTTGGATGTTTGCGATGTTCAGTGAGACATCGAAAGAACATTTCATTATTAATCACCTTGAAATGTGTGAAGCCCAATTTGACAGAAAAAGCGCCGGTAAGTTACATCAGGTTGAATTATATTCCGTCTGTCCTCGACGAAAAATTTCAAACTCGTGAGAACTACATCAGAAAGACACGATTGAGAAAAAGCTTTTTAATTGGAATGGCTCATGATCATCACGCGCAGGGACGCGAAATTCTTTAGGGAGCTCTGCATGGTAGAGGTCAACGGGCGCTATTAGAGTGGAGCGTTGAGCGTTGAGCGCTCGCAGGCCGCGTTGACCTCTGCGCCGCTACTGGGGTTGTTTGCATTGAAGCATGTTGTTTCTCAGTCTTTCTTGACGATATACTTTTGTCACAGTATCCAGACCAGAAAAAAAGACAAGACAATAGACAACTCAACATTTTGAAAAAAAAACGGAGTCAAAACGGGATGTACAACGCCAAAAGGTATAATTTAAAAATATTCACGGTCAGCCTATGTGGTATCGATCAGCGATCAACGCCATCATAAGAAACAAATGCCATTAGTTGATACAAGAGCAAGATCGGTTCACGCAAGAGCGTCATCAGTTGCGGCAATAGCGTCGAGCGTCGGCGTTTGGCACTCGACTCAACTGCGTCAAAGGCGTTTGCCGCTGAGCTCTGAAAGATGTCAATGCGCCCACTGGGCCACATATAGTGAAGCTCGCATCGGTTGAATTCAATTTGAAACACCTTCTAGGTCATAGTTACTGTATTAGTACTTTCTAGATAATCGGGAACACGTCGTTTGCTTTATTGACAAGTACTTGGGCCTCGATGGAGTGTTTCTTCTCCGATTAATAGCTCAGCATGCTGATGTTGTCTTCATTACCGAACTCATTGGAGCACTCTGGAGAAGTCATTACGAAATTGAGGAGCAGAGGAAGTGAGACTTTTCAAGCTTACTTCAAGTAAAGGGGACTAATTTGCTTTTTAGGGCCTTGAAGAAAATGAACCGCGTTCTTCCGTTGTTGCGTTCCGGTGAGGAAGAAGGACATGTCAGTCCTGATATGCCAAGCTCTAGAAAGCAGTCTATCATGGGAGACAGAAAGGTTTGCAATATACTATAATTAGCCGGTCTGAGCGATCTTCTGCTACAATTGATACCCCAGGATTGATACTTCCTCGAATCAGCGCAAGTAACGACCCATCCTATACATCGCAAATCAGTGTAGTCCAGTAAACTCTCCTATACACTGAAGCCGAAACTGAGTTCTGTTCGTTCAGGGTTTCAATGCAGAAATCTGGTCGTCAGGCCAGGTATTCCTAGCCTTCCTTTGATTTAGAGTCGATCGTTATTTGCCTAGTCCGGCGGTTTTGATTCACCTGGTTTTTGATTTATGCATCCAAATCACTGCATCCGATCTTCGGTTACTAGTGAGGTTTGTAGCCTCAAAATGGCCATTCAAGATGATTCATTCACTCACATATGTGTTTTCCGACGCTGATTTCTAATCCACATTCCAAATCTACGAAACGATTGTGGGAACGAAGTTCCGCGGTCATTTCATATAAGTGGTAAAGAGTTTTATCAAGCACATATCGGGGGTCGAGTAGCTTAGCCAAATGTGAAGCGATGACGTTACAGTGAAAGCAAAGGTGTGGCAGGCGTGACGTGAGGATTTACATCCTGTGTGCGTAAACGTGTTTTGCAATTCTATGAAATGTATGCTAAAGTATTGCAGAACAGTTTTACATCTCTCACTGACTAACTGATCGACTCCCACTGGCCTGTAGTTGATCACTTTTTTACAGTTTTTGATCCCTTTCTCGAAAATCGGCCGCACAGTGCCAACTTCCTACAATTTTGGGACCTTCCCTGGAGTAAGCACCTGTTGAATAAAACAATGAGAAGGGACGTGAGCCTGAGAGCTGCTTTTTTCAAGGTGGAATGTTGTCTGGGGCCGTTGATACGTACTCTTTTGGGAGAGCGCTGTATAGTTTTGGACTTAACCAGCCTTTCGAAAGCGGCTTCCGTTACTATCGTAATTTAGGTTCTCTCATGGTGGGGGAAATGATTCACCTTCAGATCATAGCCTTCGACTGATGGGTAGCCACTTTTGTCAGGCTCTGGCACTGAAGCTTGATACAGTACCGCGCATAATTTTACGGGTGTCTGCTTCACCATATTTGAAAGATTTTGTAAAGCGGTCTCAAATTTGACCGTATGTATTCTACAGCAAAACAAATTTCCCTCGGAAAAAAGGCGGTGTACCTCGTAAAAGTGTCAATGGTTCCATAATTTTCGAAACTTTAAAAAATGCACTTTTCCGCTTATCCTTCAATTATATTCTAATTTTGCAAACTCCAAGTGGGGCGCATTTTTCGGTACTTAAATTCCTATTAGGCCACGAGGTCAGTATTGGTGACGTAGCCTTTGAATTTGTTCACGTTTGTGTACTCCGGATAGGTGTGGTTAGCCCTTTTTCACTGCAAGGGTTTCTTAGTAGACCAAATCGCGCAAAATTTGGATATGTTTAACTAGAGCATATTTCACTTTACCCAACACTATTTGACTGCAAAGTCGCAATATCCTCGGATAGAGCAAGGTGTTTAATGCGGTAGCAGATTTTGCTAAAAGTAAAGTTGTTGACGTCGGCACTTATT